GCTGCTAGTGTGGGAGAAGCCGCTGCACAGCCTGATTACAGCGGCCGCGATCAACGGCCTCTTCTGGTAACGGCCGCTGAGGAGGGGGCGGGGCCGGGTTGCGCGGGAGAGCGGGGGCTGGAGGAGCGGGGCGCGAGAGTCCCCATTCTGGGTTGTCACTTGGCCTGCGGGAATGGTCCATCCACCAGCTTTTGACATGCGTTCAGGTTGCCCCCTTCCTGTATTTCGGGGTGGAGAGTTGAGCCTGGAGGTGCTGCTGTTCCTCATCAGTGAGCACTTTTGTGATGCACGCAAGGGGCCTCTCACCCACCTTCCGCTGAGATGCCTCTCTTCCCTAAGGCTGCTGTCTTCGTCGTCCCTCCGGCCAATCTTTCTTCTCAGCATCTCACTTTTGGCCTATTTTCTGCTGGATCTCTGGCAGCCTCGCTTCTTCTCCGAAGCCTCAGGTGAGTCTTCATTCAGCAAGCCCCCCTTGTAATCCTTGTGCCTGACCCCACTGAGGGAGGTTGAACAGTGAGGGCTATGTACAGCAGGCCACTTGCCTCCAGGCACATTCCCCATGCCACCAGGCCTTTTTAAAAGAAATTAGCCAAAACGAAAATCCATTTCCCAAAATGAATGTTCATGTGGCTGTTGGGCAAGACTGTAGAGTCTGCAGCCAGATTACCTGGGTTCAATGGCCTGCTCCAAGACACCATGTGTGTGAATGTTGTAAACAGCCTTTCAATCTCTGCCTCAGTTTCCTTAGCTGTAAAATAGGGAAAGAAATGTATTTTGTGGAAACATGAGAAATATGTAAATATATGTTCTATAGTTATGGTACTGTTTTAGTTACAATAAGAGTTTCACAAACATTAATTCATTGTTCTTGTTTTCTGTATATTGTGCATTTGGGGGCAACTAGGTATAAGGCTGAACTACTTAGGATATAAGCATGACTAGAAGGAAGCAGGCTGGGTGCAGTAGTGTATGCCTGTAATCCTAGCTGCTGGGGAGGCTGAGGCAGGAGGAGTGCGCGTTTGAGGCCAGCCTGGTCAACTTAGCAAGACCCTGTCTCAAAATAAAAAGTACAATACTCTGAGTTCAGTCTGCAGTGCTGAAAGTGGAAAAAAAAAAGGAAACATACCTAAACAATGCATAATACTTCAGTTGACATCTGAAGAAAATGCTTTGTGACTGCAGAGGAGCAGCAACTATTTTTGCCTAGGGGAATGTTTCCTAGTACCCCTACCACTCAATAATAATTTGGTCTCCCCCTCTCTCTGTAGCGTCATCCCCCGAGGAGCCACACTCTGACAGGTGAGTATTGTCTGTCTCTTAAAGACGGAAGCTCAAATCCAGTTTTGCTTACTGGTGCAATGTCAGCACAAAGAGGGACAATGCCGCAGCTTCTGTAGGCACGGGTCCCAGCATAGTGAAGGGACTGACAACAATCCAGAGTTTTCCTGGTCCTAGGCACCTATGTAGGTATTTATGTGCCTTTTTCTTTTGAAGCAGAGGGTTGGGTACCCTGGGCTTTTGCTTTGCAGGACCAGGATGGCCTTTCTTTGGGAGGTGGAGTTTTCTGTTTTAGACTCATGATCAGCAACCTCAGAGGAATTTGAGTGCCTAGGAAGCTGGTGTCTGAGGCCTCCAGGGGTCATATCGTGTCTCCCCAGTGAGGGTGCGGGGTCAGGCGCCCGGCCGCACCTGCTGAGTGTGCCCGAGTTGTGCAGATACCTGGCTGAGAGCTGGCTCACCTTCCAGATTCATCTTCAAGAACTGCTGCAGTACAAGAGGCAGAATCCAGCTCAGGTAAGCTCCCCACATCCTACAACAGTTCGTGGAGCTGTAGGGTTGGAAGGAGCAGCATTGTAAGCGGAGCCTATTGCATACTTCTTGTAGTGGAGGTGTTGAGCATCTTGATTAGACAGAATTCCTAGAGGAAATGACTTTTTTTTTCACCAGTTGAGCAGTTTTTAAACCTAGGTGAATGAGGCATATAACCCCACCCACTGTTTTTCATAAACTTTATCCTCTTCTCTGCAGTTCTGTGCTCGAGTCTGCTCTGGCTGTGCTATGCTGGCAGTGCTGGGACACTATGTTCCAGGGATTATGATTTCCTACATTGTCTGTGAGTCTAGCCCTGCCCTTCCCAAACCTCTCTGCTTTTCCTGTTTCCTGGACTGACTTGGAGGGAGGACTGTGTCTGTTTGCACAGTTACCCTTTTGGAGATCTCCAGGGAAGCTGTAGAACACCTTTGTTAATAGAAGAATAAGTACAGGGGAGGACAATAGATGTGGGGAGGGGGTAGTCCTGCCTTGGGAAAGGACTTTGGCCCTTCTTATTTAGAGGCTAGTTGAATGAGGACTCTTAGGAATTTGGTACAGGAAGCTCTGAGCAGATTTTCTAACCCACAGTGCTGAGTATCCTGCTGTGGCCCCTGGTGGTTTATCATGAGCTGATTCAAAGGATGTACACGCGCCTTGAGCCCTTGCTCATGCAGCTTGACTACAGCATGAAGGCGGAAGCTGATGCCCTGCATCACAAACATGACAAGAGGAGTAAGGGTCTCTCTTAACTTGAAAGAGGGAAAGTAAGGGAGTTCCCTTGGCTTTTGGCTCATGACATGCCCTAGCATTTAGATAATCTTCTATTCCTTGGGTGTATTTGTTCCCCACCACTGTCTTTGTTGGGTCATTGCTTTATTGCTGTTCTCTAGAGCGCCAAGGGAAGAATGCACCCCCAGGAGGAGATGAGCCACTGGCAGAGACAGAGAGTGAAAGCGAAGCAGAGCTGGCTGGCTTCTCCCCAGTGGTGAGGTTCAGGGGAGATGAAGGTGACAAATAGAAAGTTGGGTTGGGGGTACACAGGGATTTGTCTACTTTAGAGCTGCTGCCTTTCAAAGGAGTTGAGTTAGATAGTCTGGGGGTAGGTTGCTCTTATCCCTTTACCTATTGTGTTCTCTCTGCTTCTCCTGCAGGTAGATGTAAAGAAAACAGCCCTGGCCTTGGCTATTACTGACTCAGAGTTGTCAGATGAAGAGGCTTCTATATTGGAGAGTGGTGGCTTCTCTGTATCTCGGGCCACAACTCCACAACTCACAGATGTCTCTGAGGGTATGGGGAGTGCTTTGCCCCTCCTGATCTTCCTATTCCCTATTGGCACGGTGCTGTTTATGTTCTCTGGCTCCCCTGTTTCCTCTCGGGAACTGGTCTTGAGTCAAAGGGTTAGCCTAGCATGTCACGTCTGAAGTTCTCATCCATGAACCCATTGGCTGTTGAGGGCCATCAGAACAGCAGGCCCATTCCTAACTTTTGTTCTCTGCAGATTTGGACCAACAGAGCCTACCAAGTGAGCCAGAGGAGGCCCTGGGCCGGGAGCCAGGGGAGGGGGAAGAGGCTGAGCTCGTGCCCTCCGAAGACCTGCTAAGCCCCTCTCAGGCCCTCTCAAGGCAGGCCCTGGACTCTGAGGAGGAGGAAGATGTGGTAGCCATGGAAACTTTGCTTCGGCTCTCATCTCCTCTGCACTTTGTGAACACACACTTCAATGGGGCAGGAACCCCCCAGGGTGGAGTGAAGTGCTCCCCTGGAGGACAAGTGGAGACACTGAGCCCAGAGGCAGTGAGTGGTGACGTCACGGCTCTACCCACCTCCGTGTCACCCCCATTTTGCCATGCTGAAAGTGACCCAGTTCCCTTCCCCTCC